TTCCACAATTTAGTTGCAGTTCCAGTTTGGTCCTGGGAGGAGGTCAGTGTGACTTCTACTCACTCCTCTGCCATATTCCCTCTCCCCAATGTGCATTATTTTGAATACAAGTTCTTTATCACATATGTGTTTTGCAAATATTTTCTCCCAGGCTGTGACTTGCCTTTTCATTCTCTTAACACTGTTTTACATGATGACAAAGTTTTCAGTTTTATTAAATTTCAATTTAGCAATTATTTCATGGATTGTGCTTTCAGTGTTTACATAAAAAAACATGTTTAAAACCTTAAGTCATGAGGAGTCTCAACTTTGACAGTTTGGGGAAAGGTAAGAAAAACCTTGAGCCCATGGTGAGGACCAATGATTCTCCCCACTGGTGAGAAGCAATGTGTGTTGCAGCCTCTCTAGGATGGACAGGTCAACTCGGGGCTCAGGTAGTTGGAAAAAGATGTGTGGAGCCTTGGGGATGCTTGACATGCCTGTATTCAGAAGAGTCGCACAAGCACAAGCCCAGTCTGGGGAAATCTCACAGGCCACAAAGCTTGTGTCCACGCTGCACACAGGCCATGAGCCCATGTGGAGGGAGTCACACAGGCCACAAGCCCCTGTCCAAGTTGGCGCCCCGAGTCCCCACCCTATCCAAAGCTCCTATCCCTTAAATACTAGCCCCAAACAAAGCAGGCAACAGGCCAGAAAAGTGAAGTAACTATCATGAGCTGCACATGAGATCCTACTCAAGGCTACAGGGCAGTTTATCATACCCGGGGCTCAAGGCCATGAGACCCAGGTGAAAGCCTGTGGGAACACTGCTTTATCAAACTCCTCCAATGTTGTGAGGAGTTGCTCCCTCCGGTTACCCACGCATCTGGGTGAGGGAGCCGGACCACCTCCATATGCCCTACAAAGAGAATATGTGAGTGACTTGAGGCTGCACTTCTCAAGAGCACTTGTATTTTGAGAAATGATCCCAGCAAAAAAACCTGCAGGCTGTGAGCCCCACAGGGACAGGGCTGTGACTTTATCTCAGCACGTCCAACGTCTGGCATAGTACTTACTGTCCAAAAGGTGTACAGCAAACAAGTACATTCAGCATTTTTAAATAACAAAAGTAATAGGTGCTCATTGTGTATGTGTGGGACATGACTGTTGACGACTAGAAAGCCAGAAGCCCCCCCCATGGCCCACTTGGACTCTTACCAGTTCTTCCTGGCTGCCTGTTTGCTCCACCTTTCACATGGAGACTGTCTCCTCACATGTTTTATAATCATGGGTTTCCTTCCACATGCACCAGTGAGTCATTCAAGGCTGATTTAAAGCTCTGGGAGCTTGAGTATCTTCTCTCAGGGCCTCCCACTGGGGACACAGGAGGACTATTATTCTGTTGGGGTCCCCAGATGTCATTAGAGTATCAGTAACTTTTCTCTTAGACTGGTCAGTTTCTCTCAGAGGAAATTTCTGAACCCTGCTTGAGGCTCCAGTGGAGGGAAGAGCTGGCGAGTCTCAGCAGCCACCCACCAGGCTCTCCCAACTCCACTCTCTGCTGGGCAAGGTATTCCGAAGTCCACAGCAACTCTGGTCCATTGCTGTATTTTATGGGGATGAAGAAGAGGATCTGGGGGGCAGTCTAGCAGTTGAATCTGAAAACCCACACTGTTTTCAGACTTGCCCATTCACAATGTTTTGCTAGCTGCAGTGTCTCTCCAGCTACCTTGCCACGGACCCCTTGCTTCCTGTGAGTTCCCCACCTGCAACGAGAGGTCTCAGGTTTTCCAGATCTGCTGAACCAGTTGTCCCTGTGTGTTCTGTTTCATCTTTCACTTTTGGTCTCCCTTCCACTTTGTCCTAGTTGATTTATACCATTTTATTCATTTCAGTGCAATTTCAGGGGATGAAAGAAGAGAGTGGAGATAAAACCTGTGTGCAATCTGCCTTGTGCAACAGACACATCATACTTTTTTCTTGTAATAATATATTGAGGAACTATTTATTCCTTTTTAAGGAGGTACAGAATTCCAGGCTCCAAAAGGCAACACATCAGCCTCTTAGGTTTGTGTAATTTTCAAAAAATGATGCAATGAATATACAATGTACACTGTTGTACATCAATAACTACGTGTATAAATAAATGAAGGAGGCAAGAAGAGAGGAAGGAAGAGCTTTCTATGGAACACCAGCATCTGAAGAAGGGAGGTTGGGGAGAGGCTTGGCAGGGTGGATGGTCTGTGTTTCCAGTCTCTGTCCACACTAGGGAGACCCAACACCCTCTTCTCAGACCTGGTCTGAAGCATGCCAACTCCCTCCCCCTTGAACCTGTTACTAGTGAGAGAAGTCACTACCACTGCGATATGGTCCACCAAGATCGGGAAACAAGCTGACATTTGGACAGGCAATGCCACAACCTGCATGGCCAGAAACAACTCAATGTGCCCTTTGTTTCCAGAGGGTAGTGAGGACTCCTGGATGTGGGTTTCAGCATGGCTGAGGGCCACACCAGCCAGTAGCCCCATCTCCACCCTGCCTAGGATTCAGGCCCTTCCAAAGGTGCCCAGATTTCAAAGATTTTACTATTAAATTTAATCCTAAGTATTTTATAGCTTTTGACATTTATTTGCCCTATTTCTATTTCAAAAAGGTTATTGCTAATATAGAAAAGAACTATTAATTTTTGTGTATGTACCTTACATCCAGCCACCTAACCAAATTCTGTTATTATTTGTGATTTTTTTTCCTACAATCTGGAAAACCTACCTAAGCATTTTCTAGATATACAAATATATCTACAACTATTGGCAATTGAACCATTCGTGTATTTTTTTTTCTTTTCATAGTATAATACCTGAAATTTTAAAAACAATGTTAAGCAATAGGGTGAAAGACTTCAATGTAGTTTTATTCATCATTTTAATGGAAATTTCATTAGCATTTCCAAGCTAATAATGTTTACTATTGGTTTTTAGGAAATAGGGCATGTATTTTCATTTGCAGTGGTACTTGTCTGAAGACAAGGCCTTCACCAGTGGGGAGTTTCATGGTTCCCTTTAGAAGCCTGTGAGGTGCTAATCTTAGTACTGAGGAGACAAGATTTAGAGTGCCTTACCCTCACCACATTTTTACCAGATCTTGTGTCATTTGTTAGAAATTTCCTTGAAAAAAATGGCCTGGGATAAAATTTAAAATATTAATAACAATAAGGAAGAGGAAAAGAAACAGCTAAAATTCCAAGGTCATGATGTCTTTTGTGAGGTTGCTGGGCACACTGGATCCCCTGGGTGACTTGGGTCAGCTCAGAACACTGGCACCACCATGCAAGGTCCTCTTGGTGACATGAAGCTGAGTCAGAAAATCTCGAAGCTGCCAAGCCAGTCTGTACAAGGAGGCAGCCGTGTTCCTGGAGAAGCCACTCTGAGCCTCTTCATCTTCACTTTCAGAGTCAGGGCCGGGCAGAACCAGAAATTACAGCAGCCAGCATGTATCCTTCCTGACAGTTCTGTTAGGATTTCTTTTTATAGGTGAAGAAATGAGCTCAGAAAAATTAAGCAACTTGCTCGAGATCATGCACATAGTCAATCCAGAGCTGGGATTCGAACCCAGGAAACCTGATTCTGGAACCTGCTGTCACGGGACATTTTCACTCAGTCCTCCAGGCCATTCATGTTAAAGCCAATGACCAAGGATTGGGACCTCTAGGAGCTGCGGAGTTTTTCTTGGGACACTGGAGTCCATGCAAGCACCAGACACTGTCTGCAGACAGAATGTAGTATGTACCCAGTTGTGTCCTAGAGTGGGTTGAATGGCATCCCCTCCAGGAAAAAGGTATCTTCACCCAGAACATCAAAATGTGACCTATTTAGAATAAGGGTCTTTGCAGATGTAATTAATGTAAGAATCTCAAAATGAAATTATCCTGGATTATGGTGAGCCTTGAATCCAATGATGAGTGTCTTTATAAGAGGAAGAAAAGGAAAAGACACACAGGAACTCAGGCAAAGACCATGTGACAAAGGAGACAGAGGTCAGAGTGCTGCTGGCACAGCCCAGGAGCCCCAGGAGCTGAGGAGACATGAAACATCCTCCCCGGAGAAGGTGCCACCCTGCCGACACCTTGACTTCAGACTCCAGAACAGGCATAGAAAAAAAATCCCTTTTATTAGGAGATTTTATTTACTTATTTTTAGAGAAGGGAAGAGAGGGAGAAAGAGAGGGAGAGAAACATCAGTGTATGGTGGTATCTCCTGTGCCCCCTACTGGGAACCTGGCCTACAACCCAGGCATGTGCCCTGACTGGGAATCCAACCAGCTACCCTTTGGTTCGCAGGCCAGCACTCAATCCACTGAGCCACACCAGCCAGGGCAAAAATCCCTGGTTTTAAACTTCCCAGTTTGTCATAGTTTGTTACAATAGTGCCCAGGACACCAACACAGGTCCTTAAAATTCTTCATAAAAAACAGGCACTTACAACTATTACTAAGCTCATAGTTTCTATTTTTCATGATGTGTTTTTTTCAATCAATGGAGATAAAAATATACTCTCATGTTCATAGTAATAAAAATATTACTATCATGAAAAATATATATCATGAGATATATGTTATGTTTGCAAACTCATCATCTTACAGAGAAGGTAACTGAGCTCCAGCGAGGATCATGGAAAAGCAAGCAGGTGGGTCTGGGACCAGCTCCCCTGACTGGTGAGTCACTTCTCTTCTCCCAAGTCCCATGACATTTGGAGCCACATGTGGTCCTCGCCAGCCCACACAAAAGCTATGAGAATCATGCTTGTCCAGCATGAGGTTTGGAAACACTTCCTGCCTCCCTCGCTCTGCCTTCCCATTTGGCAACAATAAACACCCAGTTTATACCTTGTGATTGTTCTACGAGCCAAGAATTGCTCAAGACCTGATGTCAGGTTTGCCCAATTCCTGCAGCGCCAAGCCACGCCCCAGCCCCTGTCTTCCCGCTGCCCCTCCCTTTACAGGGGCAGACTGGTGAGACCCTCTGCTGATAAAAGGAGGGCAGGGACTGCAGAGCTGACCTCCAGGCTGAGTGTGTTGCAAATCCGACACCATGGTGTTGTTCGTGGCCTGGACAGGTGAGAGGGCACTGCTGGGAACTGGGGGAAGTGGATGTGTGAAGCAGAGCCTCCGGGACAACACAGCAGTGAGATTCATTGCTCTCTGTGCCTCCTGGCTTGCAGTCTCTCAATCCCCATTCCTGTGGGGTTCCTCTTGGGATTTTTCAGCCCACAACTATTAGTGTTACAAGGAAAGGTTTTTCTCAACAGGCTGAAAATGACCTTTCATCCTTTTGTCCTGGAAGCCAGGGTCAGTGGGCATCCTGCATTGAGTAGTTTTGTGTCCTGTGTTCCTAGTCTCCATTCAAGAGGTTGTTGGCTGCTAAGGGCTCTTACCCAAACTCATGCTGGTCTTCCTGCCAGAAGACATCCCGGGGCCATGACCCTGAGTATTCTTGCAAATTTTCATGCGTGTTTTATTAGGTTAAGTACACTAGAAAGGTGACATAAGTCTTCTGTAAAGAGTCTTGCTGAGACCAGGTCTCTAAGGACTCACCCTCAGCCCCGCTCTGGGGGTGTGGGGAAAGCAGCGGCTCTGAGCAGAGGCACGCAGGCCTCACCTGGAGACGCAGTCTCTCTTCCAGCCCTTCTGAAACAGCTCTTTCCAGCCCCAGACAGGTTTTCTTCTTGTTCCCAAAGAGAAACTTCTCTGAACATCTCATAAGTCAGTGACTTTCCTAGAATATTTCTAAACCCTTGCCCCCCACTGACTCTCTCAAGGGACAGCCAGCTCAAAAAAACTGTCATTGGCTATGGGACAAGCCCAGGGCTCTGCCATCATGCTAGGGGGAAGAAGCCGGGACATTGTGCCCTCCTAGGTTCCTCTGAGCAGAGGAAGCTGGATTGGTAGGAAACTATCCTGAGCCCACTGCCCTGCCCACCTCCAACTCCTATGCTTTCAAGACCTCTGGGCCTGGGAGAGTGGGGATGTTGCCTTAACCTCTGCTTTTCTCTCATGCTGCTGCAGGTCTGATGGCTCTGCTGATGATCCCATGGGGTGAGTGGCACCTTTCTGGAGGCGTTGCATTCGCTCAGCCTCTTCCCTGGGCTCGGCTGTGGCCGCATCTCCCTCCCCAGCTTTCATTGGGAATTCTATCAAAACTTAGTGCCCCTGCAAGTGTCCTCAGCCTCATAATGGCCCTGCTGTTCCTCCCTCTGGGAAGGTTCTTGCCTCCTTGCCCAATAGCTGAACTCCTTCATATCCATGGGGCCAGATCAACTGCAGCCTCTCTCAGGTATTTTCTGGGTTCAGGGCACCAGCACACATTTACAGATTGTATCTGTGTTTCCAAGTATTGATGTATGTGTCCTCTCCCAACAGACTCTGACCTATGGGGGTCATAAACCTATCTTGTCCAGCTCCATCTTCCAGCCTCACAGCTTAGCAAGGACAACGTAGTCACTCCAGTGTCCGCTGAACTGATTATATGTGGGGCTTACGAGAGGCCAGAGGGGTTCCAGAGGCAGAGAAGAGTTCTTGGGGCACCTGCAGTAACATGGCTTCCTGGGTTCTCTGCCCACCACCCTCCACTCCCTGTGCCTCATGACCCAAGAGTACCTGCCTCTCAGACCCTCATCACGAGGCTGTGTGCTGGCATGGGACACACATTTCCCATCTTGGTCTCACAGGAGAGATTGGTCAGGGTCCATAGAAATAGCAAACATGGGAAGATAGAGGCCAGAGATTTCCCCAAAAGCTCTAGTGCAAGCTACTTGTGGGTGTGCGGCCAGGTAGATGTCTGACAGCCCTGCTCTGAATGAATGGTTTACATATAACATTTTGCCCCAAGAACTGTGCTGTGAGTAACCATGACTGTTCCCGTGTACAGAGGAGAGGGAGCTGAGTTACCTTGTGAGTAAGTTGCTGAGCTGGGATTTCAAGTCATCATTGATGTCTCAGAGTCCCTGCTCTTAACCACCAGGGTTTACTGCCTCTGGAGCAGATGAACACATGGGCAACGTTAGATACAGTTATGGCAGGAAGTGCTGTCTCACTCCTTCCTAGATGGTCCCAGGGGGGTGTTTTCTGGATTAATCCTCTCCCTCCCTCGTTTGATTTGGAAAGTTTGCCAATCCTTGTCTTCCAGCTCTGTAGGCTACACACCCAGCCCTCAGCAGTGAGCTCCACTCCTGGGGGACCTCTCATTCTGACTCCTGCTGGAGCCTTCTGTGTTCCCAGGGGAGGCTCAGCCAGCCCCTTGTGCTCTGGGTTTCCTCACTCTCCTGCTCTCTCAGGGGCCACGTGGGGGCTGGTGGGGTACAGGGAGACCCTGGCTGGGCAAAGGGAAGTCCCAGGGTCTAGACACTGGCCACAAATGTCCTACAGTACAAACTTACCATTCCACCAAGTTCCTTGCATTCACATGATGACTTCCAAAAACCCCACCATGGTAGAATTGAGGCTGGAAGAGTCATTTTTAGATAGTGGCCCCTAAACCAAGGCCAGAGAAGAGATCAGCACTCAGGGCTGAGAATGAAGACCAACACCCTTGCTTTCTGGTGTTCTGGCCAACACCATGGTGTGGGCCTCAGTGGGCTCGTCCCTGCAGGACCAGCCCCCGGAGCAGAGGCCCTCACCAGGACATCCTCCCACACACTATAGGGGATGACAGAAACAAGCAGCCTTTTCCGACACAGAATAAGCTCTTTCTTGGAAACTTATCAGTGATTAATAAACAAATTCTACAAGAGATAACAGTAAGTGCAAACCTCTTTAAAGTAAGTCTACAGAAACATAAGCCCAAATGTCCTCTCTGCTACTCTGTGAACCTGCATTTTAATTAATGTTCTGGAATAGTTAAGCTGTGTTTTGCACATTCTGTCTCCCTGCCTGTCAGATGCTCTCTGGCACTGTGGGATTGCACAGACTCTGGCCCCACGGTTCAAGTCCCCAGCAAGCCCTCCTGACTGGCATTTGTTTTCTTGGCCCCAACTGACCAGGCTCTGCAGAGAAACTGGTCTGCTACTTCACCAACTGGGCCCAGTACAGACAGGGAGCTGCTCGCTTCATGCCCAGGGATGTGGACCCCCATCTGTGCACCCACCTCCTCTATGCCTTCGCTGGCATGAACAACCACCAGCTCAGCTCCATTGAGTGGGACGATGAGCAGTTCTACCGGGAGTTCAACGGCCTGAAGCAGATGTGAGCTTCCGGGGGAGGGGGTCGCGGGGTGGGGGGAAGGCTGGTGCCTCCTCTCAGAGCCAAACCTTCCCCAGCACTTCAGTCTGGCTGCAGATCTGCTGTGTGGCTTTGGGCAAGTCACACCATGTCTCTGGGCCAAGCGTCTATGGGAGGGACTCTATAGGGCTTTCCAGTTTAGGTCTAAGTGGGATCTGAACTGTGAAATGGTTTCCATCTGCAAGGAATGAATGCCCTTCCTCCTAAAATCTGTCTATCCTTCACCAACCTGCTCTAAGGATCTGCCCAAATCTCCCACTTCCTGAATTCCTAGTGTGTATGTCTCCTCAGCCAGCTAGCAGGTCCTCAAAGACAGGGGCGTGTCTTTTCTTTCCTAGTTTAGAGCTTCCTCAACAAAGGCTCTGCGCTCAGGGGCTCACGTGCCCCCACCCCACCCCACCCCACCCACCAGCACTGCCAGGGTTCCCACCAGTCCCGCGCTTCCTTGCTCAGTGAGGTGAGCCCTGGGAGCGGGCTGGAACAGCTCTGGCCCTTCCAATATCTTGTCCAGGAATCCCAAGCTGAAGACACTGCTGGCCATCGGGGGCTGGAACTTCGGCACCCAGAAGTGAGTAGACCAGGAGCACCTGTGAGGAAGCTCTGGGCAAGGAATCAGGTCACGCCGAGGTGTGGCCAGGGTAGGGGCAGGGGGTGGAGACTGTATTCTGGGGGCCGAGTTTCCTTCTCGGTCCTTGGGTGCCTCACTGGGAGGGCAGCAAAGTGGGCTGAGTTCAAAAATGTTTCACAGCCAGCCTTGGCAGCAGTGCAAAGATTCTGACCCCTTTTTGGGCCTCAATATCTTCCTCCATGAAATGGGTCAAAGGAGGGTTCCAAGCAACACAGAATGTCTACACTTTCTGAGCTCAGAAACAGGGATCTTGTTCCTTATGAGTGTCAAAGGCAGTCTGTGACGCTGAGCTTGATTGCCAAATTATTGGAATTTGGGGGATATTTTTGATAATTTATAGAGATAGTGGAATGGGATATTTGGAACGAAACTTTTCCTAGAAAGTCCAGAATACATTGTTGCCAGACTTCTAAACCGGTCCTTCTAAAATGTTTTTGGATCGCACAAACTGATGAAATTTATGAATAGCCTTCCCAAAACACTGCTCACACACAACAGGGGCTTTTAGCCTGGGATACGCAGGCACATGGACCCCATTTAAGAACTGTAGTTCTTAATTGAATTAAATTAATAAAATAACAAAGACGAAATTATATCAGTCTGTAAAACAGTTCGTGGTCTTATTATGGAGATACTGAGGAAGGAGGGTGCGGGGGGTACTCCCTGGGGCGACCTGGGGCTCTCAGAGAGCTCTGCACTAGTGACAGTGACAGTGCCGCTGGGAGGGAGGAAATGTGCCCCGGTGCCCCAGCAGGGAACTGGGGCGGCCGGCCCGACTGCTCAGCTCCTCGCCTGTCCGTCATATATGATCGCATTGTTTGTAAGCCTCCATGCAGGGAGGTTGGCGCTCCCAGCAAGTCCATGTGCCTCAGGCGATGTCAATGTTTGGGGACAGTACACACTTCTAGATTGTCCCTTTTCCTTGACCAGGCCTGTCACTCACTAGCAAATGCCCCGGCAGCCCAGCGCCAATATTCTGAGTAGTTTCTCATCTCTAAGGAGTGAGTAGCCAGTCCTGCCTCTCATCACCCCACAGGTTCACAGATATGGTAGCCACAGCCCACAGCCGGCAGACCTTTGTCAACTCAGCCATCAAGTTCCTGCGCAAATATGACTTTGATGGCCTTGACCTTGACTGGGAGTACCCAGGAAGCCGGGGGAGCCCTCCCTCGGACAAGCAGCGCTTCACTGACCTGGTGCAGGTCTGGCAGGGTGGGGTAGGGGTGCCCAAGGGTCCATATCTGTGCCCCACAAGGCATGAGGGTGTTGCCCTTCCCCTAGGGGCAGCGGCTTTGTGTCTTTGCATGGCACAGACCAGCCCGTGGTCAGTCTTCAGACTCCTGAGGGTGGACCTTGCTGAAGGCTTCCAGAAGCCAGCGGGGTCCTGGCCTCTGCGTTCACGCTGAGCTGCCCCTACAGGATCTGGCCGATGCCTTCCAGCAGGAAGCCCGGGTCTCAGGGAAGGAACGCCTCCTCCTGAGCGCAGCGGTCCCGGCAGGGCGGCAGTACATAGATGCTGGGTACGAGGTGGACAAAATTGCTCGGTGAGTCTCAGGCAGGTGCTGTAGGCCCTGTTTTCTCTGGGGTGGGAAGGGCCAAGGGCAGGCTGAGTTCCCCAGCACTAGCACAGGGCTCCCCTCCAGGGGAGGTTTGGGAAGCCCTGCCATCACCAGCGCATCCGGGAAGCATCACTCCCTTACTCCACCACTGCAGAGCCCCTCTTTTTTCTTTGCCTTTTTCCTTGAAAATTCAATCTTAAAGTGAAATGCCCCAGAGTCATTTCAGAGTCCAGAGGGGAAAAAGTTAAACCCCTGTTTCTCACAAGGAATTGGTCCTGAGGGTGCTGAGGAGAAAGCAAGGTGGGTGGGTGCTGCAGATGTGAGTTGTCGCCCTCACTGTTTGAATGAGAATGGCCTCAGAAGCAGGGGACCTGACTCGGGAGCACTGTCTGCATCGCCTTTCAGAGCAGATGTGAAGCTGCACCCCGGTCTCTCACCATGATGGTCCCTCCTGGGGCCACATTGCATGGAGGGGGGAGAAGGGGACCCCAGACTGCTCTCTGGCCTCACACCTCTGTGCCTCCTGCAGGAGCCTGGATTTCATCAGCCTTATGGCCTATGACCTCCATGGCTCTTGGGAGACAACCACAGGACATCACAGCGCCCTCTTCAAAAGGCAGGGAGAGAGTGGGGCTGCAGCTGAACTCAACGTGGTAAGTGGCTGGAGGAAGGAGGCAGGACCCCCTCAGGTACCTCATGGAAGGAGGGCAGCACAGCCCCGTGGGGCACAGAGAAGCCACGGGGCTTTGTTTCTTAGAGTGCTTATTTGCTTGTTTGTTGGATGGGTCAGTTTTCCTGTTCGGTGCCACTGCTGAGGGGACACTCGACCTCTGGGCAGCACCTTGACTGATATCAGACACAGCAAACTGACAGAAGGACCTCAAACGAGCCAGTGGCCATTTGGGAGGCTCTCTGAGCTCTAGTTTCGAACCAAAATATCTCCTGCTTCCTCCACACACACACCCCCAGATCCTTCAAGACTCGGGGGGGAGGTTGGCTCTCAGTCACTGATGGACCTTCTGGAAAGTACTTTCAGAGGTGGGGGTGCCTGTCATGGTAGAAGGCCCCCCCACCTACTGCTACCCTCTCCTCAGGAAATGGCAGGTTCGGTGTTAGACTGGGGGTTCTCGCCGAGCTCCCCCTCACTGAGCAGGGCAGATGCTTCTTACGAGCCCTGTCTGGGTTTGAAAGTCACGAACAACAAAAACCCCACCTTACAATGCCCTTCACTCGGTGGAGCCCACACCTCTGTGATTAGCAGAGAACATCGGGGGCTTCTGAGGCTCTTTCACAACAAAGGGAACTTTGCTGGGCACCTGAGTCACAGTCCACATGTCGCATGGGGCCTGGCCCCCACTGACGTGGAAGACGGTGGGTCCCCGGGAACGTGACCCAACGAGGAGCAGGCAAGCACCCTCTCTCTGCGGGGAGGAGAGGGGCTGGAGTCCCCCGGGCAGCGCTCTGGACACGCGCTGGTAGGAGGCCTCTGTCCTCCTGCAGAGAGCCCCTCTGCACATCACACTGTGTGTCGGGGCACGTCTGGCCAGAGAGGTGGCTTTTCCAAATGTGCACAAAAGTAACACAGAGCTTAGCAGGGGGCCCTGACCTCTGCCCTCAGAATGCTCCGGTTTGATAAAAGACCAATCATGCAGACCCGCGAAAAGAAGTGCATATACAGTGAACACTGCTCTTAATCACATTGTGTCGGACCTCACACATGCATTACATCTTTTAATCCTCATAAATGCCCTTGGAAATCGATATGTTTATTGTGCCCACTTTATAGACAGGGAGCCCGAGGCTCAGCAATATCAGTAAGCTGCTGGGCGAGGTGGGGAACTCCGGCTCTGTGGCTCACTGAGGTGTCCCAGGCATCGGAGTCAGTGCCTGGTGCATGGCAGGCTGTCAGTAACGGCTCCGTGGACGGCTGCCGGACGCTAAAGCTCAGGCCATGGGCCACAGTGCCAGGCAGTGAATCTCACCGAGGCAAGATCTGAAAGGGGGGCAGGGTTGGAACAGTAGGCGTGGGCCATGAGGCTCCTCCAGAGGCCCCAGCATTGGATGACTGAGGGCTAAAAGCAAAGACAGTGAACGCTGCCTGCTTCTCTACCACCAGGACTATGCCGTGCAACAGTGGCTGCAGAAGGGGACCCCTGCCAACAAACTGATACTTGGCATGCCTACCTACGGACGGTCCTTCACTCTGGCATCGACCTCAGACGCCGGAGTGGGGGCCCCCGCCGCGGGGCCGGGATCCCCTGGTTCCTTCACCAGGGAGGCAGGGTTGCTGGCTTACTATGAGGTAGGAAGCCCACAGCCATCTGAACCCTGGTTTCTGAGCGAGGACGCCGGGCACAGCAACCCTGGCCAGGCGCGTCACATCCCACGCCTGTCGCCTCGGGTGTGCCTTTAAGCCCCTGTGCCTCACTGTCTGCAGGGTTCCAGGTCGCTTGATCTGGAACTTCCTAGATTCCCCAGTTTCCTCAGACAGGAATTTTCCAATCTCTAGTCTGTGGCGCCCCTCCTTCCCCGGCTCTGCCCTCTGTTCCCACAGGTGTGCTCCTGGACCGGGGCTGCTAAGCGCAGAATCCAGGACCAGAAGGTGCCCTATGCCTTCCGGGGGGACCAGTGGGTGGGCTTTGATGACACAGAGAGCTTCAAAACCAAGGTGAGACACTGCTGGGAGGAGGGTCCTGGGGGCCGAGGCCTCTCATGACAGGCAGCAGCACTCAGAAACTCTTGGAGGAGGAGTCTTTTAAAAAATATTACAACATTTCACAGGTTTCCATGGGACAACATGTTGACCTTTGGTACCTATTAAGGAAAGATCCAATGACAAAAAAAAATACTCTTCGACACTGAGTAGCACTCTTAGAAGAAATAACTACAGGGAGGAAAATCACTTTACTCGGTCCATTGACAAGAGTGGATTTGCTGCATGTTCAAATTTTAGGCCTTTGACTTACTTATATAACCCCCGCCGCTGCTCAGTTTGGTGGTGCAGAGGTGCGCTATTATTTTCCTGTGTGTCTCCCGGTGAGATCGTCAGCCCCTGCAGCAGGAGTGGTGCGTGTCCACCTGCACATCTCGCATGATGTACCCTGCAAGGCAGACAGGGCAGGTCTGTGCCGAGGTACAGATGGAGGGTTCTGGGGGAACCAAGGAAGGCTTGTGACCCTGGCTGGGGAACTGGCCTCTGAGAGTCTGAAAGCAGAGCAGGCGGGCACCCTGGGGAGAACCCTGCAGGACAGAGAAGGGGAGGATGTCGGCCTGCACACCTGGGACCCTGTGGGGGGAACGGTATAGGAGGGGAGGCAGCTAGACAGGGAGAGGGGGACCAGCAGTGGTGCCAGACCAGCCCACCCTCTGTCCCCTGCCTCACTCCAGGGGTGATGGTGGTGCCCCAGCAGGGTTGGGAGACAGGAAGCCCTCTCGGAGGGAATGCAGCCCTATCCTCAGGAAGCCTCAGGGACCTGTTGGAACAGAGAAGGCCTTTGGAGAGGGCAGAAGCATGAAGGCAGGGAACTGACTCGGACCGCTGGGGAAGCTTAGTACTCCCTCTGGTAAATGAACTCATCGAGACCAGCAGACAGTACCCGCACACGCTGGACCTCAGTGCAGAGGGGCTAAGACGTTGATACTTCCAACCTGTGGGAGTCCGCACGCCCATCTGCTCCTCACCCCACTCCAGGCTGGGCCTAGGTCACAACAGGAATGTTTCAGAATGACTCATGCCCAGCAGGGATCAGGACTCAACTATCTAGGCCCCCAGCCCAGTGCTTGACCACACATGGACTGGGGATGATGGAGAATAAAGCACCCTCATCTAGATGAGGAAGCTGGGCTCTGGAGCTGGCCAGACCAGGCTTCCTGGGCTCCTCCACCCCCATCTCTTTCTTCACATAGGTCAGCTATCTGAAGCAGAAGGGACTAGGTGGGGCCATGGTCTGGGCGCTCGACATGGATGACTTTACTGGCTCCTTCTGTGGCCAGGGCCGGTACCCCCTCATCAAGACACTGCAGAAGGAGCTAAGTAAGTAAAGGGCTGGGGCCCAGAGGTAGAACTGAGGGGATGGGGTATGAACCCCCTTCCTGAACTTCAGGTCCTGGTTCCTTCTGAGGAAATGACTTACCCCAAAATGATTTCCCAAATTTCATCCAGCCACCAGAGCCGAGGAAACTGTTGAAATGGTCCTCTTTTCAAGTTCTTCTTCCTCTTTCTGTCTGTAGCAATGCCTTCTCAGGGAGCTGGTAGCCAGGGCTTACCCCCACAGGCCCTCAGCCTGGGAGAAGCAGCTTGCTTCTCTCTTCTCAAAAAGCAAGCCCCAACTCATCCTGCAGTGTGGGACCCCCATGGGCTCTCCCTAGCAGACAGTAGATGGCAACTGACTGCCTGTTACACCCATAGCCCCTCTGCTTTCCGTTGAGGTGTGCTGTGGCCACGGGTGTGGCTGTTGGGCTGTTCTTTGCTTGTGGGATGTGGACCTGCTGCTTGCCTATGGTTGTTTACTGTGTGCATGGCCTATGGGTTTGGGATCTCTTTACAGAGCCTTAGCTGAATCTTGACTGTTTTCCCAGGTCTTCCACATATGCCTTTAGGACCCCCACAGCCTGAGGTTCCCACACGAAGCCAGCCCTCTGAACCTGAGCATGGCCCTAGCCTTGGACAAGACACCTTCTGCCAGGGCAAAGCTGACGGACTCTACCCCAACCCTTGGGACCGGTCAAGCTACTACAACTGTGCTGGGGGTCGGCTGTTCCAACAAAGCTGCCCAAAGAGTTTGGTGTTCAGCTCCTACTGCAAATGCTGCACCTGGAGCTGAGTCTCCAAGGTCCTTTCACCCCAGTGCCCAGGTCAGAACCCAGGATCCCTCTATAGACTGCCTATTCAGCTCTTCCTAGGGGCAAAGTCTGACTCCTTCAGCCTCTCTGTGGTGTTTCCATACCCACGCACCCTGCTCTCAGACCTGGGTTCCTTTCTCTGGTCCTCTTCAGTGGCTTCTTTAACATGTGAAATAAATCTTTGGTATGTACCCCACTGCTCCTGGATGTGGTGCTTTCAGAGGCTCTCTAAGCACACTGTTAGTTCAGAATTTGCTGTGGAAAGGGTGGCGAACCAAGAGGGGAGGGTCGCCTAAGGCATGCATAGGTAAGAGTTGGGTGAAAAGGTGCCAAGGAACATGACAGGCCTCCACATTCTGATGAGCAGTTTCCAGGGCACCGATGACCACATCTGGGCATAGCCCTGGGTCCAACACTTTTAACCATGCCTTTCTCATAGTTCAAGGATGTCCCATTCCCTTATCAGGGAAGGACATCTGTTTTAGTATAAAACCACCATAACCCCTAGAGTCACCTTCTTCCTCTCCTCTTGACACCAGTACAACACAGGAACACATACCCTGGGGAAGAGAGGCAAACTGACCTCACTCAAATGCCCCTCAAAACTGGACTTATTAATATTGGTAGACACTTTCACTGAATGGATTGAAGGCTTTCCTACGAGAACAGAAAAAGACCACTGAAGTAACCAAGTACTTACTAAAAGAAATCTCACCTGGGTTTAGACTACCAAAAAGCTTACAAAGTGACAATGGACCCTCTTTTGTGGTCAGAATTACACAACAGCTGGCTCAAAATTCAAACATCACACAGACTTCAATCCCTAGGTAAACTGAAAACAGCTAATCAAACCTGAAAAGGACTCTAGCCAAGCTATGCCAAGAAACCTCAAAGTCCTGGGTATCTACGTTATCCATTGATCTCATGAAAATAAGAACTGCACCTAAAGGGGAGTTTCAATGAGTCCCTTTGAACTCACCTGTGGCAGGCCCTTTCTCGAATCTGACCTGCTAATAAATGAGGAAATCCTCCAGCTATTATCTTGCACCATTTGTCTAGAACAGATGCAAGAATCATTTTAGGAATATGGAAACAAACTTTACCTGCTCCTCTGGTCTTTTGCTCATCGTTACTGAATTAGTCAATTCAGTGTAAGCAGACTGGATTCAATGGGTCTGGAGCTTTGGCCTCTGCTAGGCTAAACCCCCAGAAGTTCAGCAAAGGGGTAGGACAGTCTAGCCTCTCCCTACATCCCCTTGGTGGGCAGTCTAGCCTCACCCCAGAATGTTTTTCCCTCTTCTGGATTGGGAATCAAGTCAGCTAGCACAATAGCAGCTTCCAGCTTGATCTCTTTTGCAAGCGCCTATGCAGGTGGTCAAAAATTCCCTATATACAGCCATTCTTCTATTTAAGGGGGCAGAGGGGACCTATGCTACAAATGTAAGCTAACTCCTACCACAATGCCATCTAATGGCAATTCCATAGGCATTTTCCCATCTACACCATCACACTGCGACTGGGCGAGGGTGGCCAGGGCTCAGGAGAAGGAGAAATGGAAGGAAACTAGGCACACCCAGTTTTAGCCATGCTGCAGGACAGTCACATCATGTCGGGCCTGCACAGCCTGCTCCAAAACACAGTAAGTGTTGTGCATGCCGAGAGATGGGGAATTGGGCAAAAGAGTGTACTAATGTAATAAGCCTCCTCAAATGCCCTGCTTCAAATGCAAGACTGTAGGCCACTGGGCAGCCCCCTGACCCCGAGGCTGAAGGGTCACTGGGCCCATGGCCATGACTGCCTTTCAGATGGAAATTCAGGGCTGAGGCTGCCCACCCCAGTCAGGCCCACCTCAAGAGGTCACCAGTACTGGACTGGAGCCTAGGGTACACATGGATGTGACATATAGGACAATAACCTCCTTGTTAAATACGAGGGCCACCTACTCTGTCCTTACTTCCTTCTCCGGACTCCTCTCCTCTCAATCCTACACCATTCTAGGAGCAGCTAGAAAGCACACCACTAGAAACTTCACCCTTCCTTTAAGTTGCCTCCAGAACAGATATTACCTCACTCCTTCTTTTCTCATAGGTCCCAGAGTACCTGACCTGTCCTTAAAAGAGACCTCCTTCAATTAAAGTGAAAGGTGTGTCATGCTTACCAGAAGAGGAATCTATGTTTCTAAAGGTCATGAAATGCATTCATAAAAGTCAGCCTAGCCCTGGTTTCTGTGGCTCAGTGGGTTGAGTGCCGGCCTGTGAACCCAAAGGTTCGATTCCCAATCAGGGCACATGCCTGGGTTGTGAGCCAGGTCTCCAGGAGGGGGCACAGGAGAAGCAACCAATCAATGTAGCTCTTGCACATTGATGTTTCTCTCCTCTTTCTCTCTTACTTACTTTCTCTCTAAAAATAAATAAATAAAATAAAATAAAAATAAGTTAGCCTAAGGGATGCTTATGTTTTGTCTATCATTGGAAATTAAGGTGCATATGAATTAAAAGTTCAAATTAAGTTTGAAGAAGTATATGGTTTTACTAATAGGACATGGAAATACAATTTTAAAGGACAAGGATTGAAAGTAAGCTATTCTGGAGATGGTTATTTCTGAGTGGATAAGAGGGTCTGTGCAAGCCAAACACGGTCTGTACAAGTTGAAGGATTCTGTAGAGAGAAGGAGCAAAAAGAGAAGGAATTGAGGGATTAAAAAATGAGAAAGGATAAAGGAAAGGTGTATACATATTACAAGAAGGAAGGACATTTGGAATAGGAAACTCAAGAAGGGAAGTAGAACAGAGCCTCATACTGGGACATCAACTGCACTGACTGGAACCACAACCTGAGACCTATGTTTGTGAACCCATCAAGGACCCCAAACTCCTCTTAAAAAAACATGTTACAGATAATTAACACAGTAACTGGACCTTAATATAATTGTCTTTCTCATATTTCTGACACTCTTTCTACCAGCCTGTCAATATGCCCAGCCTCTTCCACAGAAAGAAATGTCTCTGTATCTGTTGGATTTAACCCTTATCAGATAAAGGTTCTCCACTCCACTAATCTTCTTGTCAAATTTGTTGCCTCTAGGATACAGCAGTTACTATTGATGCCTGTGGCCTCATGCTCTGGACACCTATCATGGGCCAATGGATGGACACTTCCCCCCACCTCTTCCAACTGATAGTTAGCAAGCAGATGGGACCCAAAGAAGCCTCAATGTCCCCTTTAGAGCAGGAAACAGCCTCAAAACCCCAAAGATTTGGGTGCTGAATGCTTGAGAGGGAAATATTGTGTAGGATAGATAGTAAACTAAGGCAGGGAGGAAGAGGGAGAAATGTCTCACTCACTAACTAAGCACTCCCGATCCTGGTGCAATTATTGAGAGGCAAACCAACATCACCAGAAGCACCAGGCTAACACCTTGAAATTCTACGTATCATTTTCTCTGTCTAGGAAAGAAAGCCTTTGAAACTGTATATTCAACCCAAGGAAGGTGGGAGGGGATCCACAGCACTCAAAGGAAGGGCCCCCTACACACCTGCATTTGGGTAGTGATGGTTGCTGCTCCCCCTCCCCAGGAGGCTGGCGCCACCTTTACCTGTCAATCAATATGTAGCTCCCTCCATCCCATCCTGCCAACTATAGAAGTCCTCAGGACTAAGGATCTGAAGCTCTTGCAGCTCTTACCTTGCCCTGCCCTCAACCTATGCCTTTCACTCCCACCTCAGCAAGGTCAGTTCTCTTCCATGAGAATGTATGTCAGCAAAAGGAACCTAGTTTCTTCCATAACAATAAGTTCATTAATAATCAAATGAAATAATAACAGGGTTCTTAGCATTTTAAATGAGTTCAGGACCTGGAGCAATGGTGTTCTAGAAATCAGAAGTATTTCATAAGTAAAATTGTGCCTCTTGTAGGTTATCTGGGGAACTCACAATATGGCAAATGTCCACATTTTCAAAGAGGAGAAAGTTAGATGGTGAATTCTGGAATCTAAAAGAGTAAGATTACAGGTTCTAAGTCATTTTGAGAGACAATTATCGAAGAGTGATTTATGGGCAATGAGAAGAGGCAGTAATCCGCAGACGCACACTGTGCTTTATCACAGCGTGGTTCAGGTTCCTACGGTGTCAGATCTTCCTTGGCTTCTGAGCTTTTGCGGGTGTCTTCTTAGCCAAGGACACTCCTGCCCAACCTTTGCAAGATTGCTGGCATTTTTCTGTTGTTGTTCTTTAGCTCTTAGCTTCCATGGTGACTGTCCAAAGAGAGGCATGATTTCAGATCCAGGGTGCAAAGTCACATGCCTTTTCTATTCTAATTACTCTTCATCATGTTCCATATAGAATAGGATTTCTCATTCTCAGTACAATGGATATTTCTTTCTCTTGGGATATTTTTCTCTACATTATAGGTGCTCATTCGTATTCATTACTGCTATTCACTGCACGCCAGTGAAAACCTCCTTAACCTCACCCAAATGACAATCTAAAAGGTCTTTATAAAATGCTGTGTTCCCTTGTGGGCAAAATCAAACTTTGGTTAAAAACTACTGATCTGAAGCTTTGATCATTTTTGGAAACTGAGTGATCTGGCCTTGGTTTGCAGAATTTTTATTATCATTCTCTGCAAAATATTTTTTAACTCCAATTGTGATTTCTTTGGAGGCATTATTTAGAAGTGGATTTCATAACTTATAGGTACTTTCTAGTTATCTTTTGTCACTTATTTCTAGATTAATGGCAATGAGAGCAAGAAACACATTATATATATAAATTTCAATTCTTTGAAATTTGTTGAAACTTGCTTTCTATCACAATATGATCTGTTTTTTAAAAGTTCCAAAGGTACTTGAAAATAATCTGTAATTTGTAGTTTTGGGGTACAGTGAAGTACTTATACATGTTGAATCCAATTTGTTTCTCATATTATTTTTAAATATTTTAACTATTTTGTGGGTTTTATTTGTTCTAAAAGAGGTATGCTTTATTACTGAATGAGAGAGGTTTGTTAAATCTCCTAAGATGATTATGAATTTGTCTATTTTTCCATATAGCTCTGTTCTATATAAATTGAGTTTATGTCATTAAGTGAATAGAAATTTGGAACTAACTGGTAAATTGAACTCATTGATATGAAGTTCTTCTCTTTATTTGTAGTAGTGCTTTTTT